GTATAATATGTTCATGAAGGGAGTTGATAGAGCTGATCAGTACTTGGCCTATTATTCTCTTCCTCAGAAAACAGTAAAGTGGACAAAGAAAGTTGCCTTGTGGCTTATAAATTGTGCCATTTTCAATTCATTTTGGTTTTCAAAAATCTAAACCCTCATTCAAAATTGAAATAAAAGGCATTTCTGCTGAATGTGGCAAAAGCCTGGGCTACAGACCGCACAGTGGCGGCAGAACCAGCGGCAGACACAGTCTTATTACTACCGGGGCCGTCTACTCCCACCCCACACAGGCCTCATTTTGACCCCCCCTGGGCAACTCTCGGGTGATATGCAGAAACATGCCCTTGCGAAAATTGTGAAGAGTGAATATTTCAAGAGGAAGCAGCCTTCTAGGCAATGCTGTGAAGGAGTAGGACTGCCTACATTTGCAAGTTTTGTGTAATGCCACTTCACAGAGGGGAATGTCTCGAGAAATATCACACCCTCAAGCACTTCTAGAAGCATTGGTAAGTGTTCTCAAAAAATTTTAGTTCATAAAATTAATCAGGAGATTTTATATTAATTTTTAAAGTGAACAGTGCACAAGTTAGGGTAGTAGGTATAAAAATGACGGTCCACAGGGTGATTTAAATATTTAAATTGCCGGTCTGCAAAGTCTTAAGCATATGGTATGTATAGTAATCACTGGGCTTTTGAAGGATTAAAGCAGGAGGTACATGTAGTATCAGTTGTGCTTTGAAGGCTTAAAGCATAAATTGCAGTTTCAAATGCCATCAAAATCTACAAAACTATTTACTGACAGTCAGCATAGCGATGCAGGTATTTTCATTTCCAGTTCTGTGTGTCCATGTTGAGATCTTATTCCCATAAGAAATATTCATCCTCAAAGAAGAGGGTGCTTACCCGCCATAAAAACGATGCCCAGAATGGTGCTAACATATGCATATAATATTGTTATAGTGACAAAATATGGAACTTCAAGATTAAATATATGTGAAAGGATATAGGTCCTGAAATAAAGCTTAGCATAATTTTGCCATGCATATAAAGTCGTAAAGATTTCAGCTAAATGGACTTCTGGAACCATTGATGGTTGGGGATGAAGATAGGTGTAATTGGATAGAAATGTGTTAAATAAATTCTGCAATTACAGATGTCACAGACCAAGTGAAGGATGGACGTTTTTGCTAGTAATTAGTAAAGTGTTTATAGTATCACAAGTTAATATTTCAATCCACATAATTAATAGATATTGTGACATGCTGCCTGAAAGCCGGACAATAAGAAGTCCATCACTGGTCAATGGCTAGAAATTGTTGCCCCAGAAATGAAAGTTTAACAGTGGGGTTTCCACCATTACAAACTAATTGTTTAAGGTAGACACATATTCCTGCATTCATTTCATAGCAGCGGGCAAAATTAACCCTTCAACAAGGTATTCCCTATTCAGTCTGAGTGCAGGTTATAAGAGTCCGATGTCAGCAAGAGACCAGCAGAGTTCGTATCTGACAAGGGACCAGTAGAGTTTGCATCTGATGAGAGTTAAGGACAGTTGAGCTCCAAGCAGAGCAGAAAACACTTCACCGAGATCAGCGGTGCAAGAATGTTGTAACATTGAGAAGAAATGTCTCAAGGGCATTATACGTGGAGTAATTGTACTTGTGAATGTCCAATAAATATTCGTTCAAATCCGAGAACCTGCACAAATTTCTTGTCGTGTTACGTAGCAAATGCGACAGTATGAACTGCAATCCATAATCAGTTTTATTTTTAGTGTAAACTCTTTTTGTTTCTTGATGCTGGGCCATCAATCTGCAACCTAGACTCCTGCCTGACATGTAACATTTTTTATTCAGTCTCCAGAAAGCTTACTTTCTCAATGCCATTTGTAAATATTGAACACACAGCACAAGTTGAATGTTGAATCTGGAGAATAGTGAACAGTGAAAAGGTCCCACAGGATTCCTGCATCTTTCTCCATTGGAAAAATTTGTCCAGCACAGTTTTGTTCTAAAGCAGAATGGGACTACAAGGTTCCAGGAATGCCATTACTTTAAACTGACAATTTTGTCTTTGAAGTATCAGGATTTTGGTCTTCTGGGATGTGATGCAGTGTTGTTTCATAGATGGATATCTGCATTTTAGAAGAACATGCTGCCTCCACTTCATGGTAGAAGGGTGACTCTTCTGGTCCAAAATGGAGTCTGCAGTTTGCTCCGAAATGTTGGCACTCTTCTGCAAAACCACATGGTGTCACATTCCAGAAGACCATAATCTTGATACTCACTGCCATGTGAACCTCAGATGCCACACATCTCTGAAGTACTACTGTCCAGTAATTGTCATGTCCATTCTAAGTCTGTCTTCATTTGCAGAGAAGTGGCCTACAGAATCTTATATGTTGGTGACCCTTTATGATTAATATCAGGTTTTATTTGCAGAGAAATACCATGCTCAGATGAAAGAGGCACAGCAGGTTGTTGCAGAAAAAACTAGTGCATTAGAAGCAGAAGCTTACAAAACAAAAAGACTTCAGGTACTGATTGTAATGCAGTAGTTTAACAGTTTTCCTTTGTAACACATTCATTCATTCATTCATTCATTCATTTCCTTTATTTTCCATATATCTGTACAGGCAAAAAACCCAAGTCCCTTTGATAATAATAGATGTATACATGTAATAAATTACGTAAGTCACACAACTAAAATAATAACAATAATAGTAAACAGACACTAGTCAAGTAAAATAGGCAATAGAAAAAAAACAAAAACAAGAAGCTTATTGCAATTGTAATTACTAAACATAATTTAAAAAGTGCATTACTATAAAAACTTAGAATTAATACAATTTCACTCAGATCACCCAAATAATTAAATACTTTCTTTATTTCATTTTCCCATAAATAAAAAAAAACATTGATACAGGACTCGTCATATACATACATACACATCCTCCACTTTCCATAAACATCTATACAGGGAACAGACCCAGGATGCGGAAATAGTCATCAAACACGTACACAAAGTAACACAAACCACACAACCAAGATCACCCACATTAACTGTCTAACACATACAACAATACGAGGCAAAAAGATAATATCCTGATTAACAGACATAAGTCACTAGTAACCACAATACAACCCCTCACATCTCCCATACTAACTATGTTAAAATGTGACATTAAGCATTCAAATTTATGTACATTTGTAATTAAAATACTCATTTAATGCATAAAAAGAGTTAGCATGTAAAAATCTTTTTAGGGCACATTCAAAGGATTTCTGGTTATTAGATAATTGTTTGAGCTCTTTAGGCAGATGATTGGAGATTTTTATACCAGAATAATATGGACCCTTTTGAACTTTAGTAAGAGAAGTACTCGGGGGAAATAGGTTAACATTCTGTCTGGTACCAATATTATGAACCTCCGTATTTCTTGTAAACAAATGCATGTTATTTATAGTGTATTGCATTAAGGAATA